TTAATGAAAAATGAAAATTTGAACGTGATAATTCATAAAAAAAATAGCTTTGTTAGTTTATAACAATTTTTGTATGGGTTGCCATTTGAAAATCAAAAGTTGATAGTGGTTTACCTAATAAATATAAGGGTGAAAAMAATTTAAATGTTRTACAATTGTAGAAAAGCATGAATCTAAAAATTTGAAAAAAATTAAATACTTTTTGAAATAATGAGTGTTCAACGATAAAAAAATCACCCTGTATATATATTTTAAAATGGAAAACTTATTTGTTACACTCTTGTCTATAATATTGTTCTCTGAAACTACTCTCATCGGATCCGAATATGTATAATCATCTTGATTTTTTTTTTTTTTATTTTTTTTTAATGAAAAAATACATCATCATCACGGACCAGGTTTATTTAGTCTTCAATTCTGTATAATAATAATTAGTTGATTGAGTAATAATTATTCTTTATAAATATATTTAATTTTTTAATATCATATTCCGCAGCGCGGAAAAATAGCACACGTTGAATAATAATTAACGTGTCCGATATCGCGATGAAACTTTGGGAAGTTGTACAAAAACCGAGAATCACCAATAAAATGCCGTATTTGTATTAATATAATATTGATCGTTTTTTCCCCAGTGAAGTTTATAGTTATACCAGCTATATCAAAAACCACCAGATGGCATTATATTATTGTAACTAATATAGTAATATGCACCGTAGGTTGGATCAAGTAAAAACAACAAACTTGATATAACTTTGAGTTAAGAATTATTATAATCTTACGTAGGTAATAAACACCTATAGCGGAGTCCGCAACTCACCACAGCGCTGCAGTTGGTGATGGATAATTGTCTACCTCATAATATACTGCTCGCATATATTCATATATATAATAAGTGAGTCTCAATAAGGTAACGTAGAGCGGAATAATGGCTATATAATATGAATTATAATCGAGTGTGACAGTGACACGCAGTGTGTCCYGAGTCCTGACTAAACGTAATAGAGCCTGAACAATCATAGCTTATTGAGGCTTGCAATTTTCATGGTAATAGCCTATTACTAATAGGTACCTCCATGTTTACCAGGATTTTACGAAATTCACATTTTAAAGTGGTATGCTTGCACACATTTTTTGATATTCAAAATGGTCAATAAAAATGTTTAATTTTTGAACACCATATAATATTACACTGATTAYTATTTATAATAATATAACAAATTCAACAAAGTTTGGATCACAATATTATTATAAAATATAATAGAGTTAACATTTTTTTAACGAGCAGCGAAGTGCACGGGGTAAGTAATAAGCGAATATTATAATATACCTATTGTATAGTATATAGTATACCTATTGGCTATTATATAAATTTGTTAATATTTTATAGATCATATTATTATGTGGTTACACGGATTAAATATGATGTCYAAACTGTATAGCAGTGAGACAGCAGTTTAAAATGTAAATAAGAATATATATTATACATTTTATAATTTTTTTATATAGTACCTACTATGTATATATATATCATATATTAGGTATATAATATACCATTGTCCA